ATAGCTATCATAGCTACCATTAATATTATAACATTATAACAGCTAACATTGCTACCATTAATACCACTAAGATTCTCATCAATAATACGAACACTAACAACATTATCAACATCATTACCAATCCCTTCAATCTCAAACGATTCCACACAACTCGAAACCATCCTGTGAAAACAAACGAATCGCCGTTCACATTACAGCGGACTTCGTTCATACATCAAGCCGACACTCCGACGTGCAATGTCGTCAACGCACAGGCAACGTAACCATATACACAAGGCGTCCTCAAAGTATGAACGGCGCGCGCAACCTTCTTTCCGCGATGCTGATTTCACTTTCAACGCGTACCCTCGTTTTGTCGCGCGCGCGAGCGCGAGTGACGAGCGGATCTCAAAGGAAGAGGATCCTCCCGACGAGGAGAACAGGTTTACAAAAACACCGAGCCGATTTTTCGCGCGCGAACCGTGCGCTCGCGCGAACATGAGAGACGACGGATCCGAGATGGACATGCTGAATGATCCGCGAAGTGGATCTCGGAGAGAATTGTCTCGGTCCAGGTGCAGGCGAGAACAGGTTTAAGAAGATACTGGACGCGTCAGCCGAGCGACTTTTTTTCACCGTGAACGTCCGCGTGAAAGGATAACAGTCCGGACACCGGTGGAGGAGAATGTAACGTGTCCTCGTGGGATTGGAGAAAGAGCAACCCGACACTCGGCGTTTCTGAATTAATGCGAAAAAAATTGGATAAATAGGGAATGCAGATTTTTCGTAGGAGATTCTGTTCCCGAGATAATCGATTTCGAAAGCTTGACCGACACGCACGCATTGTCCGGCGTTCGAGGGAAGTGGATGCGGTGCGTCATAGACAGACACGCGAGATTATTCCACGTGTTCCGCGATTTTTCCGAGTATACTTTCAGAAATGCAACTTTGTGGAAACTCTTTAATTCTATATTGTTTACTTATTTTTTAATGTAGAGTTTACCTTGTTCTCATCGAATGAAGATATTAGAGACACTGTTTTAATATTCTTAACTTTCGAGTTATGAAATAGGCTTGCCGCTAATTAAATAAATTGCTCGATAAGTTATTGAAAAAACTTTCTCCCTGCCCCCGTGCGTTGGGTAAGCTGAAAGTTTAGATTAAACTTCAGAGGATCGAGGGAACAAGAGAGAAAGATGTAGAATTTTCTATGATTGAAAGAACCGATTACAACGTCGCACGATCGAATTTCGATCACGGAACAGCGAACGCGGATTAAAGGAAAGATCGCAGCCGAGATCCGTGCGTGAGTAATAATCGTCTCTAATTACTAACCGCGCCTCTGCCCCTCTACCGGTCGGCGGGCGACGAGCCGCAGAAAGCGGTTTCTAGGTTGAACAGAAACCTCTTGGTTTCTGTTGGAACACGACCCGGCCCGCATACCAGTCCAGCCATGAAAGAATGGAGAGCAGCCGATGCAATGCCGCGAAATCCTGCGGATCAACGCGCGTCCAGTTATGGAGGAGCTTTCTATAATAAACTCGGGGCCAGGCTGCTGTCTCTTTTTAAAATATGTTGATACCTGGCATATTCAATCTGTTCATGAATCGATTTAAGCTATTATTCATGCATAAAATTGGGAAAATTGGAATTTTTAATAGGGTTCCTCGAATTTGTATTGTTAGTGTTTTTATTGTGATTGGGAAACTTGAATAATAATGTGTTGTGATTGTAATGAGGAGCTAAGCTATTATTGCTGTATAAAATTGGGAAAATTGGAATTTTGAATAGGGTTCCTTGAATTTGTATTGTTAGTGTTTTTATTGTGATTGAGAAATTTGAATAATGATGTGTTGTGATTGTAATGAAGAGCTATGCAATTATTGCTGTATAAAATTATGAAAATTGGAATTTTGAAAAGGGTTCCTTGAATTTATATTATCTGTGTTTTTATTGTAATTGAAATAAATGTAATTGTAATGAAGAAGAATGACTACTGTTGTTAATAAATGAATTCTCGTATCACATAATTAAGACAGCGTCGTGCCTAACAATTCCCAAACTGTTTCTATTTCACTTACGCTCGAAATTCCTCACTCTCGGCTCCGCTACACTTCGCAATCCAGCGGTTCAATGAAAAATCCTTTCAAAACACTCACCTTCTCCGCGAACAACCCGCCGCAGTTCCAAATCTGCATTAACGAACGCAACACCGTCGACCCCACGATCATACAGCACTCCTCTCTGCAAACATTCAAAATTCACATTTCACAACTTTCCTATACCGTTATCAAATACTGTTACATCCACCATTAATTCCGTTACAAACTCATTCCTCGATCCTCCCCTTACCCTCCTCCGAACGCGAGGTATCACAAAAACCGCACAAAACCCCCGGAGAATCTCGAGGAGTCCTCTCGACGCCTAAAAAGCGCGGAGCATTCCCAGCGCGAGACTCGATGAAAGTCCTTAAACAGGAACACACCTGCACCTAGTCCTCGGACATCATCCGCGACATTGAACGAATTCATCGGCGCGCGGAAAAAATGGCAAGAAAGAAAGTCCCCCGGCCTGCCGTTTCCATAACCGCCTGGGGGGCAATTCCGTAACAGCCGGCCGTTTCCTTAGTGCCACCGCGAAAAGAGCCCAGTCCGTTCTCATAATTATTCCGTAATTATTAGCCGCAATGTAGGCGAGATTAAACTTAATCACAGGCTGCGGGAGAGCCCGTTCACGAGGAAGAAAGATCCCTGCGAGCCGAGCGGCACGTGCAACCCATTATCTTCGCCACCTCCGAGGACGGGGGAGGGCGCTAAACAAACGAGCCGCGCGCCATTGTTGCGAAAGACAATGACCAAGTGACGCGTGTAATCGCCCGGCGTGTATCTTCGGATCGCACCTGCGACAAACTCTCTCGGATCAACGGTGGCAGACACCATCTGCACGCGCCGACGCGGGTCGCGCTCGTTCGCGGGTCCATTTCTGTAATTCACCTGTCTCGCCGCGCCGCGCTGCGCGAGGAAAAATTTCAATCGAGCCCCGGCGCGGAATTTTAATTCGCAATATCGCCGCGGAATGAAAATTCTACGTTCAAGGGATTTTTCACGGTTGAAGGGCGGATTAAAATTGGAATTTTACGTTGAAGCCTCTTTCCCTCGGGGATAAAGATTTTTGAATCGCCGGATTTTTTCGGTCCGCGTTGTTTGACGCTTTGACTGCTACGTCGACTTAAGAATTAATTTTCAAATTTGTCACTCGAGAATTAATAAATATAGAAATAGTGCCATTGTGAAGAATCTTGACTTTTTGGTTTATGTTCTATTGAGGAAACTTCCGCTTGCATGAGAGTTTTAGTGAGTGTTTGTCTGGCAGTCAACGTGTTAAGGGGTTTTCATGGGGGAAGGAGGATCGTTTTCCGGATGAACGAGGTGTGTTCGAGATTTTGCGAGAGGAGAGGTGGTTTCATTGCTGCTCGATTTAAGCTTTTGTGATTTCTATTTGAACTCTGATCGATGTAACTAATTTCTTATTGATAGTTTATTGAGGGTAAGAGGAAATTGCGTTATTCTGTCAACGCGTGCTATAATTTTAACCATTAATAATACGGGAATAATATATGCATTCAAACAAATTGAATAATATTTAGGTTTGTTACGTTCTATTTGAAATATTCACGATTCTGGCATGATATTGTATTAAGAAATTTCTTAATCCCTTGAAATTGTATCTTGCATTCGTATTAAGCGTAGTAACTTATTGTACGCAATTGTTCTCTAGATATCTTCAATCCTCAGTCAAGCAATTTAGGAACATCGACAATAGAAAATAGGTTAATTCTTTACGTTCGTAGCAAAAATATACTAAAAGAACGATCTCGTCTATGATAACGTTTCTCCAGCTGACAGTCTAAGTAAACCGAAGCATTCGCTCTAAAATTGGGGCGAAACTTCGCGATAGACGCGGACCGAGCGACGTTAGAGCTAATTTGTGTCGAAACGCACAGTTTCTACTCATTAGTAACTGTCGATGTTCCATCTAATGTTGTCAGAGGGTTGAAATAAGTGAACGTAACACCGTGAAAGTTGAATTATCCGGCGATTTCCTCGAGGAGCGTCGTACGGTGTTCGTCAGTGAGACAGGTAATAGGAAGATCGTCGAATGTATTACAGTAGCTGAAGCAACATCCAAGCGAGATCTCGGCCGCGATCTCGCTACGTAAACTGCGGCAATTGCGCGTCCCTCCGCCGCCGTCCCGGCCTGCCCGATTCCACGGGAACGCCGAAAAACGCAATCGCGGAGGGAATGCGGACAAAAGCGTGCATCATTATTTTATTCGCGTCGAAGCGGTCCCTCATCCTTCGACGCCAAGGACGTCAAGGATGAAATGGTACCCGTGGGCATTGGAACGATCATCGCTGATCGAGGAGAAATAATTGCCACCGAAGGCGATGGGGGAACTAAATGTGAAACATAGAATAACGTATAGAAGCGTTCAGAATATTCTCCAATGCTAATGCATTGGTAACGATAAATAATCAAACGAATCAAGTGACATTTACGTATCTGTAATCTATATATCGTTAAACAATGAAATACCAACGTGGAAGGATGAACTTCTTATAGAAAATTCTTCTTTCGATGACTATACAGAGTACCTAAGAAACGTTCATATTTTCGTCATTTGAACACCATAAACGGCATCGGCTGCATAATCCGAAGCACCTTCCTAGACGCACGAGCCTCCACTCGTGAAATGAATCAACGGTTACCGTTCATCTGAATGTCCCAAGTGTTCGCCGCGGAAAAACACGGACAATCACCGTTCGCCCGATCTCCCAAGTGTTTACTTAAGGAAACAGATTAACAATCGCCATTTCAGTATCGCGATTGAGTTTAAGGCCGCGAATGGAAGCCCACAGGTAGCCCATAGGAAATGACGAATCAACGGAACAGCGAACGGAAGAGGTGCAGTAGAGGGGTGAAGGAGAAAGAGAGACACCGAGGTGAAGCAAGGCGAGCCGGGTGATCGTAGTGGGATCGACAAAGCTATCTGGATCCACGACGGCCACTTTCGACGGCAGTAACCACGAAGACGCCATGACGGCACGATCACCCACATCGTCCACGCCGCGGCTCTCCACTATCTGTCTGTTCGGAGCTGTCTTCATTCTCCTGGCAACGACACGTGAGTCTCTATACAGGACACCGTGCGCGTACCGCGACGCGACCTCTCTTTAAACGGCCCTCGCTGCCATTTTACGAGCCCGAATAGTAAAACTAGCATCTTCGAAATCGCGATAAACCTTCATCGTTCGACGGGGATCAAGAAACTCGTTGAAGGACCCCTCGAAGCGAATTGCTCGCTGCAAGTAGAGTGCCCGAGTTAGAGATTAAAAGTTGAGGTGATCGGCACGTTAAATTCGAACTGTCAGTAAATGCTAATCTTCTCGCGGAGCCCGTTAACTCTCCGGCGATTAACCTCTTAGCTAATTAATCTCACTGCGAACAGTCTGCGAGCAACAGCGGTGCTTTAGTACATTAACTTTGAAACGTTGATGATAGACAGGTAGTCTCTTGTGAACATAGGTTTCTATTAATCCAGAAATTTTCGTAATTCAGCGAGAGGTTAAACGAGCTTGTTCGTTAGAGCGCACCGAGGAACTGAGAAGTCACCGAAACTGCGTTGTCGTCGTGGTTGTACCATTCTTAGTGTCGTTTCGCACGTTTCACGCGCCAGCAGCGATATTGTCAAAGTTTCCGGCACAAGTTGCCGCGCTCGGGATCTATATCGCGGATGCTGCGCGTCGGGTGTCTCGCGTGCACGCGACGCGACTCGTGCCGCTCCTCGAGCGTGGTCTGTCGAGGATGATCCCGCTGCAGGGTCTCTAAATAATTATCCGCGAGGAGGATTTCGGGGAACGTCAGCGGAGTTACGGAATCGTTTGCGGTGAACGCCGCGCGCGACAAAGGGCTAGGCGGCATTTCACCGGAAACGTCGCGCGACTGTTCGAACGGTTACAAAGTCGGCTAGTCGCGGGTCAATGGGAAATCGCGTTGGAGTTTCGGCGTCCGGAACGCGTCGACACGCGTCGAAATTCCTCGACGCGCGAGTCGTTGCGAGATCGACGTCGAAACTAGCAGACGGGCTGTCGCGACGTCGAAACTCGACTGCCAGGTGGGGAATTGAAACGCTCGGAGACATTGAACCGCGTGATTTCTCGGCCGCGACATGCGCGCCCGATTAAAATGGAACAATAGCGATCGGCAGCTAGAACATTCGAATCGGAATGAGTACTCGAAGTTGATTCAGGATTCTTTGGATTGTTGATAGTTGTACTAAACAGAGGTTGTTATCGAGTCTCTTGTTTCTCGGTTTCGAAACTGTTTCAGTATTCATGTTAGAAATAGAAACTAGTTCCTTATTTTTCAGTTTTGAAACTTTTTCGATATTAACCCTTTGCGGACGAAGATTCCTTGATCGATTGCTTAGATAATTGCAGAAAGGAAACTACGTACTGACCTCTAGCTGTTCGAGTAATTAAATCGTCCGTTTGCAACCTGGCGTTCCAAATATGAACATTTCATCTTGAAATGTCGACAATCATCGCAAAGGTTATCTGTCCATCAACTTCAAATTTCTGTAATATCTGGTTATACGGGATATCGAATTAATTAGATAACAATTTATAAACGGCTATGTGCATTAAAACAGAAGCAATCGAAGAATAGCGGTTAACAAGTTCCTTGAAACAATCAGCGGGCGGAATGGGAAAACGATCGAGCACGACGGATTTCGATGGAGAGCCAATTATCGATCGAACTCGACGCGTTAATTGCACGGAGGAGCAATTAACGAAGAGGCGTCGAGTTGCCCCGCAAGCTCGTTCGGCGTCTCGATTTGCCGGTCTGTTTCGCGTCTCCGACTTTCGCGCTCCACGCTTTTCCTCCGCGCGTCGTCACGCGGATAGAAGAGAGAGAGATTCGTGATGATAGAGGAGAAAAAAAGGCGGTATTGCGGTCGCGGCAAGAAATTCCCGTCCGTCCGTCCGTTCGCCTTTACGGCCGAGAGTTCGCGCCGGACTCGAGGAGTCCCCGGAACGTTCCGATATCGTAATTCCCTCGATCGATCCCGCCGCGAGCGGGTTACGAGACCGATTTCCGGGACACGGGTAGAAACACCGAGGGAAAGGATCCATGATGTTTCTCCGCGTCGCGTTGTGTAACAAACGGGAATACGTTTCTCTAATCTCGTACAAGCGAGAATCCGATCGGGCTTTATGGAGGAACATCACCTGGAGACGTCCTAATTAGAGGCAGCTTTAGGAACTTCTTTGATAATAACTGTTAAGCGAGAATTCCTGATGTCGTCTGGATTTATACTGTAAACCTCTGCTTTGTATTTCGATTTTTACCAAGCAAGAACGTTCAGAATGCCGCAGTTATTCGCTTTGGAACCCATTTTCGTGAAACATCCATTCTCGATTGTAAACTGAAACATTCGGAGATAGTTTCTGTGGATTCGTAAAGAGATATATATTATCTAAAATGTGGAGTACGAGCTTTCCGATGTCTCAATTGTTTAATTTTTTACTAAGACCTGAAGCTAATCCTTTCGGGTAGAAACAGGCTATGCGAATGCTTGCCATTTCCGTAATTAAAATTTCGAACAATCCGCGCGCTACATTTTAGACGATATATTTGTTTACAAGTCCACAGAAATGTTTGTCTTCGCATGTTTCAGTTGTTTGCGATCGAGTCGGACAGTAATGGATGTTTTAAAGGGGTTCCGAAGGTAGCGAACGACTGCGCCATTTTGTAACATTTCAGCTCGGGAAAAATGTAAATATGAAACAGAGGGTTACAGTTGTACACCAAGGAAAAATCAGAAGTTTTCACTTAACAGTTGTTAACAAAAGAGTTCCTAAAGTTTACCCGTATTTAGGACGTTTCTAGGTGTCCCCCCTTAATGGCTTTGGCGTTCGTCGCGTTTATTTTCTTCCGTTGCGTCGCGTCGACACGCGCGCGGGCTCCGCGCGTCCCGCGTCAACGGACACGGGTACTTACGAATCGTCAATTGACGTTCATTAGAGAACCGGTGGAGCTCTTTGTAGGAGAGGATTTATTGGGAGAAGTCTCTTTGACCGGCTCGACTTTAACTCCTTTGTGCGATCTAATGGATTGCTGTTCCTGCATTTGTTTTAGCACTTTTTTGTACTGCACACTGTTGTTGGATACCTTTGGATTCCTTAGGCAAATGTTCATGCAAGCTTGATCCCATGGAGCTTTGTTGCGAACCTTTTGGAGAATTGGAACTGAAGGCTGATCTCGATCTTTGATAAGAGAACTAGTAGAATTTTAATAATTAAATTTAATTTAACCTTTAACTCTTAGCACTCCAGATGGTTTTGTAATCTATCGGCAACGAATTTTTATAATATCCCTAGCGGAAATGAAAAATGTTATAACATTTCTCAGATCTTTTATTTTCCTTGTTACTGCGAAATTTGGATGTGTGAAGAATCTAATGATTGTAAGGTAGTTTCTTTAAGATTCATTAAAATATCTAATATTATTCCTAGTGCAATATTGGAATTCAAAGGGTTAATCTGTACAAGTTTAATTCTTAACTAAAGCTGTACTAGTATCAATCTAAGGAACCTGTCTCTACTGAACTTTAATTCTGATTCTAAACTAAAGAATCTTCGATGCCGACGTATAAGATACAAGAAATAATGTTCCACGCTACATCGATGGCGGAACATTTGTATTCCGGATCGAAAGTTCACGAATCCGAAATTATTACGGTTCATCCTCGAGAATGAGCACCGGTTTGTTTACCGGACGGTCGGCTATTTCTTCTTACGCAATGCCAACCGTAGGGGAACGGCAGGCCGTCGCCGAAGTAAATGGAATTTACTAGGCTCGAGACTTCTCTCGATATTCCGCCGTTGATAGAATTATATTATAACAAACGGGAACGCGTAGGGAACTCGATATTCCCATCGAGAGAACACGACGCGTGAACAAAAGGAGGTGAATACGTCGGGGATCGAATTTTCCTCATCGGATGCCGTTCGACGGATCTTGTCACGGAAGTCTGCGATCGATGAATCCCCCACGTAGATTTTCGAAGACAATCAACAACGAAGGAACTTAATTATTATCCAAATTATCTAGCTTCTACATTAACTTTCCAAAATCCATTTCTCCGTTGAACGTCGACTTCGATAGGTGATCAGCTAGCTCATTAAAATCAAATCGAACCATTATACACCTCGAAACAGACACTGCAAGCTATTTACAATGTTATTACAACAATAAACACACGAAGATGATCAAGATAATCCAAAATAAAAGAACTCGATCGTTATTCAAACTATCTGGCTTCCACATCAACGTCCAGACCCATTTCCCCATTAAACATACAACTCGAGAGCTAATCAACTCATCGATCAAACTGTTATATACCTCGAAACAATAGACACTGAGCACAAACTATTATTGCAACGTTACACACTGCCTCCAATGTTCCTATAATACTAAACACACAAATTATCAACGGAATCACTCGAACAGAAAACTGTCGTACTTCACGGATAAATGACATTTATCTCAAAGAAACGGACGATCCCCAAGCGAAACCTCGAAACAACATTCTCCGAGCTTTAACCCTAAAACAATTCGAACACCGTGCAATCCCACTGTCGAAGCGCGGATTTCATCGCGATAGAATCATAGGTTTCCCGTTATCGTCGCGGATCCGCGGCGAGCACACAGGTTGCGACATTGCGCGCGGCTCGGCAATTACGCTTGTCCGCCGCCTTCTGCTTTCTCTTTCGTATGAAAATGTCAAAGGTCCGATACACATCTCTCTCTCCGTCCGCCGTTGTCTCTCCCTTTCCCTCCCGTATCCGCGAAACAGATATTTTTTCCGTCGACTCGCGGTTAACCGAAACGTCGTTGACCCAAATTCGCCAGTCTACTCGCCGGCTGTCTATTAGATACGCAGTATATTTCGCGGTCCGATTGGTCCGGCTTAATCCGCGGATCTCCTCCCTGTATATCTCCATTCTCTCTCGCCTGCTGTCTCTCTCTTTCTCTCTCCAATCAGTTTTTCTCTCTCCGCGTTCCGCCGCGGAATACAGGGAACCGCAGCCTCGTAACTGTTTAACCGCGCTCCGCCGTCGCTGTCGTTACCGCGACAATAATTACGCACTAATGGCCCGGCGGCCGGAACGACGTAATGCATCCTCTTCGATCCCTCGAAACCGACGCCGCTTTGACGCTTCGGCTTCTCATTAGCGATTGATATCGATGCCCCAGATATCTGCCGCGCGGCGATGCACCGCGGAAACCGCTCGGCCCGCTTCGATTAGCGCGGCGCAAGGGGCTTCCGATTTTTACTTTGAATTTCATCTCCCTTTGTCCCGCGTGTCGCGCCGTTTTGGCGAGTTTCGGTTCGAGACAACCGTAACAGCGGTCGAAGAAAACCGCCGAGGATATAATCGGTTTCTTCTCGTCGAATGTTGCAACGCGCGAATTTCTGGGCCGATTCAAATGAAAGTTGCAATCGGCGAGCGGCGAGGGAACAGTGGATTGCGACGGGAGTGTTGATCGAGTGTGATTTTTCACTTCGCGCTTTACGAGAGGAATTATTCAACTTTGTTTCCCCCTTTTTATACGGCACACCTGTTCATTCTCTGGCAAAACCACGAACGTTTGTGTTTACCAAAGGAAAACCAATCGATCTCGTACACCTATTTTATAGACCGCACTCCGCGATATCAATGGCAAACAAAGTGAAGTTTTTCAAAAGGACATTTCGCTTAGATCGTCGTGTGCAATGGGATTTCTGATCTCAGAAACTCGATCGCCAAATAAAGCTATCGAAGCCAGGAATGCAGCGAACAGCTTAGCGTCGAGCTGCTATCTTAAAGCGACAAGCGACCGGTTAATCTTCGTTGATTTCCGTTTTCTCGGGGAGCCGCGACTTCTCGAAGCCAGCGTATTGACACGTCGAAAAGGATTACAAGTTTTTATCGGGGTCTCGCGTCGAACACCCGTTAGAGATGATTCCGGGAGCAGTTCGCAACGCGAGATCCGTGACGCATGGAAATTAAAAGGTGTTTCTCTAATGAGCGGCCGCGCATCCGATTCCTGCGAAGCGCGGAGACAAGTAGAGAGACTCGTTCGTTCTCTCCGCTTTTCCGCGAATCTCTTCCCTCGTCCAGCGCAACGAGGAAGCGTATCGCGGCGTTGATCCTCGCGGTTTATTTTCATCGGCCTGTCCTACACGTCGCGGCGGATCAGGAAATGTTGCAATGTTAATCCGAATTACAGTGTATCCACAGGCGCCGATCTCCCGGCGGCCGCGGTAACGGATTCTGTAACGTTTCCCGCACTTTCCTCGCAGTTTTTTCCACGGATCACTGTAATTACATCATCGATTAACACCGTCGACGACTCGCGTATCGTTTACAGCGCAAGTAAACCAGGAAACTGGTACTTTACTGGAGAAACTAAGTATACGCACGGTAGAATGATCCTTTCTAAACGGGGAACCGAAAGTGTAACGCAGAATTGTAATATGATAAATGGAACATTCGAATTCAAAGGAAACAGGAGTGTTTGTAGCGTCTGTGTAATTATGAAATTACAGGCTGACCCTTTGCACTGGAGAAGTTACGAGATTCGACGTTCGTTGTGTACTTTGTAGGAGAAAGTTAAGGTTGATTGCCGATGTTATTGAGATTTCGAAGAAATGCTGTTAATATTGGAAATTTGGGTACTTGAAGTTTGATGGTTTGAAGTTTGATTATTGGACGTTTGGGTGTTCGAAACTTCGATAGCTGAAGCTTGAATATTTGAAATTTGGATATTGGACATTTGTGTACCTGAAACTCGAATATTTGAAGTTTGATGATTGGACGTTTGGGTGTTCGAAGCTTGAATAGCTGAAGCTTGAATATTTGAAATTTGGATATTGGAGATTTGTGTACTTGAATCTTGAATATTTGAAGTTTAAATATTTGATATTTAGATATTTGGAATTCAGATATTTGAAATTTAGATATTTGAAATTTGGATATTGGTAATTTGAATATTGAAAATTTGAATGTTGGACATTTATATATCTGAAACTTGAATATCTGAAGCTTGGATATTTGAAATTAGGATATTGGTAATTTGAATATTGAAAAGTTGAATGTTGAACACTTGGATATCTGAGATTTGAATATTTGAAACTTGAATATTCCAAGTTCAAATACTCCAAATCTTCGAAGCATCACGAATATCTACGCTAAAAACTACTATCGATCACAAAGGATCAATATCGAATCGCCCCAAACGATTCGAGTCCCCTGAAACCGTGGTCTGCCCGCGAAATTAAACGAAAATGCCTACAGCTCCCCGGCGACTGGCAAAGGCTAAGCCCCGGCAATTTTCCGAATCAGCCATCGAATTCCCGAGTCCTAGATCTCCGAGGAGCAACGTCGATCGTTAACTCGCATCGTGTAATCTCCCGCTGTCATTGATCGAGCGGGCCAATCTGCCGGTGTAAACACGCGTAACGCGAATCACGCTCAGAAGCCGCGTCCGCGGGTTCCCCCCGATCGATCGAACGATCGATCCCGTTCGCGTCCCGGCCGTATGTAAAGCGGAGTTCCCCCCGAGCAAGATGAATCTCGCGTCCCGGCAGAAACAGTTGCTCGTGGCCAGATATGCGTAAACGAGCCCGTAACGGGGGATTTTTCTCCAATTATCAGATACCCGGCGAAGTGGTACACGTTACATCACCGATTACAAACGACAGTTCGTAACGGAAACGAGGGGAACGCCGGGAACGCCGTTCCCCGTATCTAATTTCCCCGGGATTGCGCGGATTCGAGAATTTTTTCCGGAATTTTCAAAGAGACGCCGCTCGCTCGCTGGAGACAGCCACGCGGTTTTATGCGTCGCGATCGCCGGCGAACCCGTGGTTCCACGATTTATGCTCGGTCCACGCGTCAATCTCGTCCGATGGACTGATGATATCCTGTCCGCCGCGAAGAGGGACGACGGTAACGGTACCGCGCTCGGACGCGAGAGGGTTAGATGGACGAGCGGCCGATCGCACGACCGGTTCACCCGATTCGTTAGCATCGATACGAACGCCGGCCTTGATGCCCGATCCATATTTATGCCGGCTTTAATCCCGATTTCCTCGTGGCCGACTGGTGAACCGTTTACCGGGGACTCTTGCCGGCTCGACAGTAGGTCTGCGGAGCGCGATTTCACGTGGACCTTTGAACCCTTTGCGGTCGAATGTCGCTTAATGGCGATTTCGAGCTTCGGTATCTAAAATCGCAAACTACGGAGGGATAATTGCTTTCTTTTAGTTAGAGGCTTTGATGTGTAGATTCTTGTGAAATGTTAAAAGTTTGAGACAGTCTTTAAGACTTTTTGTACTCGCGTGTGAAATGTAGTTATAGTTTGCTGTTCAAGTAGCGATTTTAGTGAAATATATTCATAGCGTTAATCTTCTGTTTGCATGGAGTATGAAGTATTGTTAGGAATAGGTAGCAGCGAACGTGTTAACGATTGAATATTCGTTTCTATCGGCGGTCTGCGAAAGGAAATCGTTTCTTCTCGCAGCGGTTGCCGGCAGATTGCGAGAGCTTATGAAAATTCATGAATTTTCTGAAGGAATTCAGATTGAATTAAGTTTGTCCTCGATGCGTAATGTTGTCGGCGCTTTCAATAGATTAAGAGTAACTAATAGGACGACTGAACATTGAATTCTATTAACCGTGTTTTATAATCTTTCAGAGATTTTTGCAAGCCGCGCTCGTATCACGCTGTCAATAGCGTCTGATATTTAATTAACCCGTTAGCCAACTGACATTTTCAGCGATCCGCCGGGGATATTAAGAAATAAACGATAACCGATCGCAACAGAATCGAATTTCAGAGTGAAACAAGTGAGAAAAGAGAAAGTGCGGTTGTCTAAGACGTAATGAGTCTGTCTAATACGAAACGGATGGCTATCGCGACGATCGGAATGCCGAGGAGGCTGCGAGGTCCGAGCTATCGTTCGAGGAACTTCGATTTTGCATAGCGATCACGATCCCCGTAACGATCTGCGGATCCATCAGGATGAATGTTCGTCGATAGGTCGACTACCGTTAACCGTCGATCGAAGACAGAGGGATCGGTAAACCCGACGGAATTTATTATTCCAACTGACGCGCGATCCTGGATAACGATTAGTTATGCATGCGACCGGTTCTCTGGATCTTCGTTCCTAGAGTTCCGTTCCTTAATTATTCGAGAGGTGAACATCGCGCTCGTTTGTCACGGGTCAACAGGCTCTGCCTTTCCAAATATAACGATAATAATGGCAACAAAGTTACTGCAACAGTAACAGTAACTTTATTGTTATTGTAATAAGACGATTAAACTTCATAACCCGTAGAAGCGATACTGTTTGACCTGGAATAGGTTAAATATTTAACCTAAGCGAATGGAATATTAATTAAGTAATCAAATATTGAGAGAATAATCAACAGTGAATTCTATAGACTCTAATCTCTTCATTATCGTAATCTTATCTAGTAATTCATTAATTATAGGTTCTTATATAAATTCACAGTTTCGAGAACTGCAACAGTTATAGTCGAATATTTTCTCTATTGTAGAATATGTCATATTAAATTTGTATCGAATGTTTTGTTCGATTGTGCTTCGTCCAATTTGCGAATGCTATTGTAGAATATTCTATGTAACCCACGCGGAGACAGGAAGTTTCCTTTCTGTATCGGTTCCCGAAATCGATCCACGATAATTAATCAATCCCCTATTTTGTTTACAGAGGTATGCAGCGAGTCTTATTACGGGAAGCTTATTGGCAAGCTGTCGGAATTTCACCACGGCGTCAGCGGTGAAGTTTACGCCGTGGACGGGCGAACTCTGTTCATCAAGGACTTCACGTACGATGGCGAAGCGCCAAGTTCGTAACCAAGAAACGCGCGGCCCCCGGCCGCCGAACTTTCCCATTACCAGGCGCGCTGGTCGAGCGCTAGGCTCGCTTTCCCGCGGAAAATACTTAGCATCTCGCGGTTTCTTGTCGCCAAACGTCCTTCGTATCACAACGGCCGCTTCTAAGAAACGACACAATCATTCCCACACCTAGAATTACCTTCGAATAATCGCTGCTTTCACGTTCATTTCGTTGGAGAAAGTTTGGGCTGATTGCGGATGTCGTTGAGATGTTGAAGAAACGGTTTTTATATTTGTTGTTTGGTATTGGGAATTAGAGTATTTGGTATTTGGATGTTTGAATATTTGGATATTGGAAATTTGGATGTTGGCAATCTGAATATTTGAAAATTGAATATTTGAGACTGGGGGTTTGAAGTTTGGATATTTGAAGTTTGGATATTTGAAATTTGGATATTAGTTATTTGAATATTGAAAAGTTGAATGTTTCAAGTTTGGGTGTTTGAAACTTGAATATTTGAAGTTTGGATATTTGAAATTTAAATATTTGAAATTTAGATATTTGGAATTCAAATATTTGAAACTTGGATATTAGTAATTTGAATATTGAAAATTTGAATGTTGGACATTTATATATCTGAAACTTGAATATCTGAAGCTTGGATACTTGAAATTTAGATATTTGAAATTAGCATATTGGTTATTTGAATATTGAAAATTTGAATGTTTCAAATTTGGATGTTTGAAACTTGAATATTTGAAGTTTAAATATTTGAAATTTAGATATTTGGAATTCAGATATTTGAAATTTAGATATTTGAAATTAGGATATTGGTAATTTGAATATTGAAAATTTGAATGTTGGACATTTATATATCTGAAGCTTGGATATTTGAAATTAGGATATTGGTAATTTGAATATTGAAAACTTGAATGTTGAACATTTGTATATCTGAGATTTGAATATTTGAAACTTGAATATCTTAAATTAGAAATTAAAATATATGCTTAAAAAGAGAATTTCAGTACTTGAAACCTGACGGGCGACAAAATAATAAGGATGTTTGCAACGTTCAACGCGTCCAACGTTGAAGTTTCCTCCACCCGGTTCCAAAAGCTCCAGAAATTCATTTGCCACGGCCAGTTTCTCGACTCGTGTTACCGAAAGTACCCTTTAAACTCGACCGGAGAAATCCAATCGGAGCATTAAAGTCGAACCAGCTGCGGCCGTAAAAGGTTCTCCTACTTCTCTCCCTTTCCACTCGTCCGCGACTCTCACTTTCCTGCACGGCACTGTTCGATAGAATCGAAGGCGGTGCGTGTACTTACGAAGGACACGCGACAACGAAGGATCTGGCGTGACCGAAGGATCGCGATCTGAATGAGAGAACAACGAAAAATGTTGATCGTTATGCATCGATTGCGAACCGAGTGGATCGACCGTGCGCCTCTAATTAAGTAATTATGTACACGATCTCTGTGATCGACGGAACCTACAATTATGATTATCTCCTTTCAGCCGCCTATTTTTACGTGGGCACATCGAAGAGCCCCAATGGAAATGGAATCAGACTGCGAGACGAGCGTGGAGCGTAAGTGCATTCTTTCTACAACACTACTCAGATCAATCTCTGATAATATCGTGACCCCTTTTCACTGAAAATTATCCTCCAACTTTTTCTTCATTCTTGCATCATTTTTAGACAACTTTTAAATAGATTACACTATAATTATTAAACTATAGATACATCACTGCAAATATAGAATTTCATAAGAAAATTTCACGAAACATTAAATATTCCACTACTTACAATACTTCTTTTTTTCCCCATCATTTTTAGACAACTTTTAAATAGATTACACTATAACTATTAAACTAAAGATACATCACTGCAAATATAGAATTTCATAAGAAAATTTCACGAAACATTAAATGTTCTGCCACTTACAATCCTTCTTTCGTTCCCTTACGAGTTCTTCAAATTTCAAGATCAATAATTTACATATTTTACGAAGAACACTCAGACGTAAAGAGCCCATTATCGTATTACTTGCTCCGCGTTGGGACTGACGAAACCCGGTTACGCAAGCGAGTCACGAAACACCCAGAGACAATTCTCGAAAGATAAAAAAGGGAACAGACAAAAGAGTTCACGAGACCTTGTACCGAAAAAAGCTGAAACTGGTAATGTTGCTCGACAGGACGGAGACGCTGAGGCGGTACCGAAAGAAGGACATCACGCTCACGCTGCCCGAAGGCAAGACGCTGAGCAACATCAAGTGGTTCTGCGTGTGGTGCGACGAATTCGCCGTGAGTAACGAATCTATCATGCTCGTGACCTTCGCTGTCAACCATCGGCCGCGTGCAACGCGTAGAGAAACCGGTATCGTTTCCTTGCCGTGCAACTTTCACGCTCGCGGTTGTCGCCGCCGCGTGCCAGCCGTACGAGAAAGTAATATCGCCTTGCCTGGCGCTGCGCCGTACGATTAACCGACGAATTCTGTTTAATTGCGCCGGATCTGCGAAACTTTCTGCAAAAAGAACCACACGGCAATCTGATTAGGGGGAGCCCGGCTCTCCGATACTCTAAACTTGCGTCGTCTCTTCGCTCGATGTTGAACGTGAAAATTAATGGAATATTCGATGAAATAAATGTAGGTTTATGGGGATCGTTTGTGGAGGTGATAGAAGATATTAGTGTTGAGTATATGGTTTTGATGATTCTGGAGATCGTAGTTTAATTTCATTAGCTTTCCTTGGTCACTGAGGGTTGAAGAATCACCCGTTGCAGTAGCCGTAGATAGTGATAATAATATGCTCGAATCACTGAGAATTAAGGGATTAGCCACTCGAGTACGTTGATAACAGCAATTTCTTTGAATCGCTAATTGCCAGGGAATTGGTCACTACTCACCTTAATAAGTTACTTTCCTAAAGCAGTAAGGATTAAGACATACCCAATTATTCACCGAGCTATTAGCTTTACTATTCCAATTTGTCCGTTACTCGATTCTGCAATTACTTCTGCAATTCTACAATGTCCATTGGATTTTCCATTTGAAACAACATTTCAACAATTCTAATTCATTGAAGATAAGAGAAAACTCCAATTTTATTGTGTCAACGTGTGATCTAAAGTATAATCAATGATCACGGAATAACAAGTAATTTGCATTCAAAATGAATAATATCTATATTTATTAAATTTTAATCAAAATCTTCACGAGGCTAACACGACATTGTAGGACAAGGGGTTAACTAAAATCGTTTCTAGAATCAATAAAGAATATCGAACACCGACAACTCCAAGCAAATCGACTGACTACAATTCGCTCGATCGCAGGACAATTATCCGACAAGCTTTTTATATAATAGACAATGCCAGAGGTTCGTGAATCCAGCGTAAATCGAGCCAGTCGCAACCCCGTCCGCCTCGCGCCGTGGAAACGGGGTGAACGGCACGAGGCCGCCGCGTGACGTACACCGCGAAATTTCGGATTTAATGAGGAGCACGATAGAGGTACTCGTCCGGGAGATCCGCTTATCCATGCCGGTCCGCATAGATCGTCGATTTACGTCCTCGATATTGCCGGCGCGACGCAAATTTATACCGAGTCCGAGCGTCCGCCGCACGCCACGGTTTCCCCCCGTGCGCGTGTGTGGGTATTTACACGCGCGGCGCACGTTGCGGCGCGCGATGCGCGCACGATCGCGCGTACGCGACGCCGGATAACGATAAGCTCGATCGTGGACCGGACCGCGGACGCGTACGCGCGTTCGTATCAAATATGAGCGCGAGAAATTGCAACAAAATATTGTGGGAATTAATTCACCGGGTCCCGTCGCGATGCCAGATAAAGAGCGAGCCGGGATTTTGGATTGATTCATTCGACTAATTGCAGTTATTCATACGGTCGCTCGCATATTTTTCGCGCGATGCCGCGTAGAATTCGTGCGGGTTTCATTTTGTTCTCGCTGGAGATCCTTTTGGTGATTGGAAATTTGTATGCGACTCGAATGCAGTACGTGTTACTTGCGATCGATAGGCGAATATCGATCGACTCCTGGATAGGTGTCGTCGGTTACTAATATTTGCTGATGCTGTTCGTACGAATTTGGAAAAAGATATTTTGAAAGTTCTATGAAGAGATGAGGAGCGTAGAGCTTAGATTCGAATTTCAACGCTCGAAAACGATTAAACGATTTCCACTCGAGCGGCTCTCGCGAGTTTACAAAGTTTCGGCAATGGCGGCGATCCGCTCGACCTGTTCTACGCGATAGTACTCGTTATTCGGGTATAATGAGCGAGGATTGCGGGGTTTCAGGTGAACTTCGGCGATGTGAGGATACCGCGGGGATTCGACTACCCGAAACCGCAGAAGCTGGGCACCCTGAGCGGCGTGCACGGCGTCAGCTCCGAGCCGATCGTCGTCGTCGACGCTCAGACCCTTTTGATACCTAGCTTCAGCTATGATGGCGAAGCACCGGGTGAGTGTTCCAGTGATCATCTACGTTGCGCGGACCTTACATGATTTACCGGAAATAAGGAATTTACGCTAAACCTGACGGTCAAAATTACCCATTCCTGATTTCATCATTTTGCAATTTTTAAAAAGATGACAGATGTTTCTTATACTATTATAGTGATAATATATTATTATAATATTATAACGCAATTGATTGTATATTATTATATCACGTTGTTTGCGGGAGACAACGGATACTGTTAGCAGAAAGCCAACATGATCATGAAACATGCACTTGAAATGCAATTACGGGTGGATTGATGAAAAAACCGCCAACATGATATTATAAGGAAACTGATTTTATAATATTATAATAGCATATAATTATAATAATATAATTAAGTGTCAAGGGAATTGTATTCTATAAAGAGATGAGGAGTGTAGAGCTTGAGTTTCAACGCTCGAAAACGAGTAAACGATTCCCACTCGAGCGATTCCCGCGAGTTTACGAACTTCCGGCGTACGATAGTATATGATTATAACAATGTATCATCGAACGACGCAAAAAATCGTGTTACAGACGCTAAGTTCTGGGTGGGTGCCGGACCGACCCCGTCGCCGCAAGGAATCCGCGTGCCCGACGAGAACGGCAGAACGGCTCCGTTGCGGCAGTACGTCCGCAAGACCATCGTGCTCACGTTGCCAGGAGACCTGACGGTTCACAAGATCGGCCACTTCGGCGTCTGGTGCGAGGCTTTCACCGTGGACTTCGGCCACGTGCAAATTCCGGCGGCCCTCAACGTGCCGCCCTCCCTGAAAATGCTCGGAGTCTCGCCGCAGGTAAGCTGGAAAGCCCACCAGTGATCGGCTGGCTGCGTGGAAAGACACCGACGCTTCGACACACTCAAACCTATCCGAACGCCTCTACGTTAGACACTAATTCAGTCGTTCCCGCGGTTTCTGCTAGAATATTCCGAGGTTCTTTACACCGATCACCGAAAATACACATCGATCGGGTCTCGATCTGCTCTCGGTTCGATCAAATGTTCTCCATTTGTTTATAATACAGTCACGCAACGAATACTGATTTCACTTCGATTTGTTCCACCTTCGTCGGAAACAATTGACAAGAATTTTGAGCGTATCGACAGTGTATCGAGCCTATAGTCTCCGTTTCATCCGAACCTGCTGGACAAGACACGTTCAGGTAACCGGAAAGTCGGGTTGCCTCACGTTTTTCTGGAAGGAACTCTGCACTCAATAAACATTGTAACTGTCCAGCGAATTAGAGAAATTAGTACTGGCAGTCAATGCTAGCATTCGTTTTTATAGTGAAATCTGGAAAACTAGTACTGCTAGTCAGGTGTGCTACATTCTAGACATATAATTGATGATACGACATAACTGAACAGACACTTCTACGATTGCTAAAATTACTCTCTGCATCACAGAGTCATGCGAGTATTCTAGGCACTCAGGTTCGGATGATCCGGACTCGAAACACTGGGGAAATCGAGAAGATTAACACTTGAGCACCTGACAATTCTGAGACACGAGACACAGGAGATATTACAGACTCATTCAGTAAAAATTCGATTAATCCTCAACACCATATATTACATTAAAAATATTCCATCTCATGAATCACGCGGCAGGGAAGCTTTACAGAACCGCAGTGCTTCGTTTAAATTGTAAAATCGCAACCGCGTGTACGCGGGGCCGGGTGTTGAAGTGTTAAATAACCAGAAACCCATAGAATATTGCATCCCTCGAGACAACAAGCATACCGCGAAGTATCTGCACCGTCTAAACACGTCGGACCACGTGTCCCCCAGCAGCGTGCACACTGGCTCCGTGATCCCCATGCCAATCACGTTCGAGCTGACAGCAGGAAAGGGATTCGCGCAAGCTTTTACCCCGTTCCTGATCGATTTACATCGTCTTTAGCCCGGAGACTCGATGCCTCCGCGCGTCACGTCCCGCAAGTTTCCTCGGGATCGAACTTCCGCCGGCAGTTTCATATTCCGCCGACATTCCGCGTCCCCGTTACAGAATTCGCCGGCGAGCGGCAGAAATCCTCGGTGTTTTTCGCCCCGGCGAACAAAGCGCGTTCCGCGCGGGTATTTAGGCGTGCTCGAACGGTACGCGAGGGAACAAACGAGCCTGCCGGCTCGTCGATACAGGACTCCGGCCATTGTTCCGCGACGAATTTGTCTGCGTCAATATTTGACTGGATATCCGGCTGTGTCGGCGGATGTCGTCGGGCGACAGCGCTACGCCGCTCGCCGATTCACGGATTTTCCGCGTGAACGCATCCGGCAACTACCGATGCGCCCCGTTTTCTGAATTTCACCGGCGCGAGGCGGAGGCGAACTGGAGCACGGGAACTCGATTATCCGGACGAACTGGGGTATACATAAGTTTGAAGATTTCAGGAGAGGAATTGAAAATTGCTATGGCGATCGAGGAGCTGGGTAGATGGACAGTAGTGTCGAAGTGAGCTTCGGAAATATTTGGGAATCATTGTTGAATGGAGAACTATAGATTCGAAAGTTAGCTAATTTACTAGTATACCGATCTAACGCGTAAGCTTGCTGTTAGGACTTTCAACAATCAGAAAATATTTCGAGTACTCTGCTTAAGGTTCTAAACACTCTTAGAAACATATATTCACGAAAGGAATACTCCTAGAAATGATATATTCCAAGAGATTTGAAGGTACGATTATACATTCAAAAATTTGCCAATTTTATTCTACTAATGCCACTTAAACTTGCCACTCAAGAACGTCCAATAATCACAAGCATTGCAAGTATCCCTTCATTCGAATTTTCTGAACATTCTGAAAAGCATATGCCTACGAAGGAAACATTCTAAGATCAATATATTCCAAGAAATCCAAAGGTATAACTAAACATTCCAAATTCTATTCTACTAATGCCACTTAAGCTTGCCACTCAAGAACGTCCAATAATCACAAGCATTGCAAGTATCCCATCATTCGAGTTTTCTGAACATTCTGAAAAGCATATACCTACGAAAGAAGCATTCTAAGATCAATATATTCCAAGAAATCCAAAGGTATAACTATAAATTCCAAATTCTATTCTACTAATGCCACTTAAGCTTGCCATTCAAGAACATCCAATAATCACAAACATTGCAAGTATCCCTTCATTCGAGTTTTCTGAACATTCTGAAAAGCATATACCTACGAAAGAAGCATTCTAAGATCAATATATTCCAAGAGATCCAAAAGTCCAGATAATCGAGGCCGTATCAACTTGGAACACAATCGTTCCGATGCTCACCGGGACACGGTTCGACTAGAACGCCTAAATGCCTAACAACCCTGTCTCTGTCCTTGTGTTGCAGAACGTGCACCGCGGAGGGCAGGGACAGACGGTCGGCCTGGCGAACCTGTACGAGCCGTCCGCCTCGTCGTCGTCGCAGTCGCAGTCCTCCGTCCACGCGAACGCGTTGCTCGGCCAGCAGCGATACCATCGTCCGACCACCTACCGACCGATCCTCCGTCGAGACGATCAGGTCCAGGTGGTCCAGGCGGTCGACTATAGAGTACCAAAGAGCCTGGACAGCCAGGAGCCAGTCGCGGCGAGTTTAGACGACGCTGCGTACCAAGAACCGATCCGCGGTTCGACCTATCAACCGGGACAACAGGCGGAACCACAAGCGAACGCTTACGCGAGAGTGTTGCGTTTCCAGGGTGACAGGGCGGGCGACTCTTTCGTTCGTTATTGATAGGGATCGTTCTCGCTGCGGATCCTGTGCGCACAGGGTGCACCGTTTTAATCCTCGGAATTCGTAGAATCTCGCTTTCCATAAAAGTCTACTCTGTTTCGAGGCTTACCTTGGAATGGGCACAAGGTTCCTCTAGGTGAAAGCATCAACAAGGTTATCTCCGACGATACCAGTGAAAGTGTTACACGCGGTGAAAGTACTTGGCGACTAGTAAACCATGTATCCTCTAATATGTAGAAACTGGAACCAGTGAGACGACTGAGGTTCGTCTGATAAACTATGAACGTTGTCTGTAATCGAATTGACATTAGAAACAGGGTAATATCTATAGCTACTATTAAACCATTCATTCGCTTAGGTTCTATCTACACCTCGTTGAGAACAGAGTAACTTTTATCTGAAAGATTCCTCCAATAACGTCGAAATTCGGTAATAAAGAGATATTGAAACGGTGTGCTCGAACACCCACGAAGATCAAGCCTCTCCGCAGCGATCCCGAACCGTCCCCGCTCTGTTAGCCCGATCGACCGATCGTTTCCGCGATCGCTCGCCCGCGTCTCGCGCCAGGGAAGCCGACGTCCTCCGAGAAGGAAAGAATTTCTGCGACGATTTACGCGGCCGGCCGACAAACGCCGTCGTAAATCAGGCCCGCGAGGCGGCGCAGGCTTCGGGAAATTAGCGAAAGTTCCGTAAGCCTCGCGTTTACCGACTCGTCTCGTTCCGCGAGCGCGGAAAACTCCGGTGGCACAGCTGCGATAATATTAGCCGGTGAAGTTCCAGCGGGTCCCGACCCGGTCGCGTGCGAGCCACTTCGGAAAGTTCGGCCCGCGAGAGGGCAGGGAGCTACCCCTTTATTTATTTTGCCCCGCGACAGCGCCGCCGGCTATCCGTTGAACAACGAATCTCTGAATACAAATATGCGAACGTTGTACACGACGAGGACAGGAAGGGACTCCGGAGTTCTGTCTCTGCGCGTTGTCTAAAAAGTTTCTGGAAATTATCCGCCCCAGTATTTTCGCCGTGGGAATTTTGCGCGCTTCCAGCGTGGAACTCGCCCCGATTACGGTGGAAACGGGAACGTAGCGACGCGAATCTTCCGCACGTAACTTTGCGTCGGGTAATCTAGATTTTTCGCTGCTCGGAGTCCGAATATTTGGGAGTAAGGAGAAACGTGGATAACGCTGCTGAGGAATTACTCGAGGATCGCTTATCTTTCCGTTTGTATTGTCTGTAGTTTAATATTCACCTGTTTCCTACATTATACTGTCTATATTTTGACTATAGCAGCATTTCCTACGAATTGTTTTTGTTCTTCGGTATTTTTACCGATCCGAGCACTGCGAAATCTAGGTTAAACGAATGTACGTTACGCGAAGTTACTAAAGAGGACTGAGGGAATATTCTTGGATCCACTGCGAGAAACGTGGAAACGCAGACCAGGCGGACGTCGCGCGGAAAATGTTAAGAAGACGCTGCACGAAATAAAGGAAAGAAAGACGTTCGTTATGCCTCGCTGTTAGGACGCCGCCGAGTTACAGATTAGAAATCCACCGCGAA